AACCCTTTGTGGTGTGAAAGCTACCAGGAAAACTGTCATAAAAATAATCCTTATAAGGTCAAAGTTGGTTTTTGTTGGAAGGAAAGGACAGAGTTTTCTAACTCGCTGTCTATAGGGATCCAGCAGTTCGTTTAGTCGTTTAGTTTCTGAGTCCATGAACATTTATAACCCCACACACCAGAGGGTATGCAGCTACACCTGGGTGCTGCAATGTCCCCAGCACAGACACAGCATCTGCTGACAGAAGGTGCTTTTCTTTTCTTCAAGCAGCCTAACAGGGGCTAGCAAAGGGGTGTAAGCTGACTCATGGATGTAACTGCATCCACACCAGGGGTTTTCCTGGCTTAGTAGTGTCCCCTATAGTGTGTAATCTCTTTTTAGTTCCACTTCTCCACAAATCCTGAGCCTGTGCTAATAAGACCCGGTAGCGTAAATGAAGCCTGACTCATGGTTAATCCACATGTAAAATGTAAAGTAGGTGATTGGGAAAATCAGGGATGATTGTGGTTCTGCTTCTTGACTGCCATTTCCTCTAGCTATGGAAGAACCTTAGGCAGTGAAGTGAAAGTCAGTTTGAAGCTGAATCCCATGTTCCTATTTTTAAAATCTAAATTTGAGAGGAGGGAAAAAGCAACAGGAAAATATGTTGATTTTCATGCTGTTTTCTGTGGGCAGTTTTCTCTTTCTTTGCACAGCAGTGTGCAGAATTGGAGTGTATTGCTCTGACTGCTGTGTTGTTCGGCTATAGAGGTGCTGGATGGTCAGAACCAAATAATGTCTTGTTTCTGATTACTCTCTCACTTTTTTTTTTTGTTTGCCATGAAAGCTGCCAGGTTGTGATTCTCTCTGCCTGCATCGCATTCAAACACCCAAATGTGTTTGCTTTTGTTTGGTCAAGGGGTGAGGACAGGTGAAGAGGTAGAGACAGACGTGTTGCAAAAGCAGGACACCGTCACTTGTCACTCAGCAAAGAGGGGTAGATCTTGTATATACCTCTGTCCCCCCTTGCTGGTGTAACTACCAGAAAGGGACAGAAATGTGTAGGCTTGGGTGCAAGGAGAAAGCCCAGGTGAAGGCTGCCTTCTGTTTCTTAGTAAACGTCCAGCTGGTGTTAGTCAACGGTGCATAGTCTCAAACTCTTTGTCCATAATGACATGGATAGAAACACGGGTTTGCTGTATCACAGTGCATTCTCCCATTATTTTAAATACATTTGAAATCTGGGTTGGTGTTTTAGATTTTGATTCTGTTTTATAAAAGGAAGGATTTCTGGTGATGAGACTGTATCTCCAAATAGTTGTGAGCATGAATAAAGTTACGGAGTGCCCTCCTCCCTAGTCACACCCACAAATCAGGTAGTTGCTTTACTTGGTACTTTTGTTTGATCTCCCAGTTCAAAGGGTTGACAGCAAGAGCAAGAAGACGACTCTAGACTGAAGATGCTGTGCAAAAAAGAGTCTGTACTTGCATAGAAATTAGTAGTAGCAACTCCACATGTGTAGCTGCATGGTCCCTTTACAAAGTGTTCCTCCTCTTTTTTTCTGAGAATCTAACAAATCCACAGTTTGCAGCAGGCCTTTTCCAAAGGCAGGCCCTTTTTTCTTGTTTCATGTGCAGTTCTGGGTTTTGCTGAGTTAGGAGCCATTGTAGATCATTTCTCTGTGTCATCCTGATCATGAAAGTTTTAAGGTCAGACCTATGCGACTGCTTCTGTAATAGCAAAGAACATGGCAAAGAGAGCCTCTGGGATCCTCTGAGTAAGTGCATTATGCATAGATGTACTGATATTGTCTTTGGTTATATGATCAAATACTTTTTTTTTTTTTTTTCCAGTCGCACTTCTGCTTCCTTCAGGGCTTGGTGATGCTCTAATTGAAACTCTCCTGGACTTCCATAAAGCAGAATCAAAATCTTTAAGGAGAATTTGGACACACAATGCTGTAGGAAAGCAGAAATTTGGCATGTGTGAACTTTTCATTGTTCAGTCAAAATGACTGTTGGTTTGTTGGTTTTTTTTAACATGCAGGCAGACAGGATGCATGCAGTACATTTATGTTTTACACCTACACTATGTATTTCATTTGGCAATTTTTTTCCTTGGATAAGCTTTGAGCAAATGGTTATTCTTTATACTTGGTAACACTGCAGAGAGTTCTTGAATTATTTATTTCATGCATTTTAGCTTAGTGTATTTGGATGCCTGTAAGCTAACTTTGTTACTGATTGGGTGTTTGAAATTTCTGAATAAATAGTGGTAGTTCGAAATAGCTTGGCAGAAAAAGAGGTCACCCTCCTTCCTCCCCCACTTGTCTCCTCTGGGGGGAAAAAAAAAATCCCATATGCCTCCCTTATGAGTGGTGAGAAGTTGATTTGTAAAACAGATGCTGCATAGAAGTAATTGAGTTGAAGTTGCTAGAAATATGTATATGCTACATAACATCTGCAGATTTCAAGATGTATTCATTATCTTTCCAGAATTTAGATTGTAATTATGAGTCCTTTATTTAAGTTTCCATGGTGATATAGAAAATGTTTCCCCCTTATCCTTTCCTAATCAGGACACTTGTATATTTGAATGGTGAACCTTTTTCTCTCCCCTGGGTAAACTTAGTTTTATTAACACAGAGATGTTAAGCTGACACAGAGCTGTCTGCTGCTCAGGCAGATATTCAGTAGCAGACGTTATCAAGCATTTGCAACAGATTCCCCAGTGCCACCATTTAATTAGCCTGCGTGCTTCCAAATGCTGGTAGGAAATAGCACCCAGTGTCAGAACACGTGATGCAGTCGTGCTTTGGGGATTGGTAAAGTTAAAGTCAAAGTCAAGTGGCCAGTAATATATCAAAGTGGGCCAAAGTCCCCCCCTCCATCCCTTCATCCTTCCCCTTCTGTCCTGGAAAAAGGGCTCTGCTCTGTTTTGCAGGGAGCTGCTGCAGGTCACCCCAGGGAGTGTCCTTACAGGAGCAAATGCATCCATGCGGCCTTTGCGGAATTTCTTGGAATAACCAGAATTGTACACTATGTTAGTGCACATTTATTTAAGTATACAGCCTTGTGCCCACAAACCCAAGATTTTGATGTTACTGTTGTTTTAGAAAATAGTGAAAGATGTGACTTAATCGCTAAAGTTGATATTTTGCTCAGGATTTTTGGCAAGCTGTTTGAGTGAAAAGTGGACTTTTGTTTATACTGGAATAATTTTTATTTTTTATCTTAAATACCCAAAAGATATACACATATAAATAGAACTTACCAACATTTGCCAAGCATTTGAATTAATTTTGTAGAGTTTGCATGAGCTGTAGGTAGCGAATTGACAACACAGTTGGTTGAAAAGGAATGTTTAGTTTTATGTGTTTCAATTATTTGAATAAATCATAGCACATTTAGACCATAGGGTTGTTACAGCTTGAAATAATTTATTTTTTTAAATTTGAAAGAAACTTAACAGTTTGCATAAAAATAATCAATTTTTATGATAGCTGGTCACTGACCATCTACAGACTAATGTCTAAAACTTTTTTCATTTTTATCAAAATAGGAACACTTAGCTTTTCCCTCTAATTTTCTAGAAGGAACAGCAGGCTTATTGTCAAGCTGTGGCAAATCAGACCAGAGGGTCAAATCTGCCAGCGTGGCGGCATGGAAGAAGCCAGCTTCTGCTGGGCTGGTGGTGGGAGCAGCTTGCTTCAGTACTTCCAGCTTCCTCGCTCTCTGCCTGGGGAGTTGAGCGTCATCTTCTGTGCAGCAGCGGGTAAATTTATGGAGCAGTGACAGCAGTTGTCATTAAGTTCATACTGCAGATTTTTAATAGACCTAACACAGTGTGTAAAAGCAGGATTTCCCCACCTGTAGCTGTGTGATTGCTGTAAGCGAGATCTGAGGTGAAAGAAGGTGCTTTCCTCCCAAAGCAGGCAGCGGCACTGAGGAAGCTGCCCTCTGCCTGTTTGTCTGCAGAGCTCATTTGTTCAGCTGCTCGGGTTTGCCATGGCGATTATCAAAGTCAGTCCTGGCAACCAGATCATATACTTCATGCTCAAGAGCAAGCAGCGGACCGACCACACTTGACAGCTGGCTTGTTCACGCGCGTCTACACAAACATGCACGTACACACCAATTGCCCGTTGTCCCCAACGCTCCTTTCTCCGTGCATGTGGATGGATCAAAACATCCTGCTGTTGTGCTTCCTTGATGCCAGTGGCAGGAAGATCAGCAAAATGCCTCTGCATTTTCATCCCGACAAAGCAAGGCCAAGTACACATAGTATGCATTGAACCCTCCTTCCCCCATCTCGCGGCTATGCACACTCTAGTGAGGGTGCAATCATCTCGTATTCAAAGCACGTGTTTGTAGGAGGAGGGAAAGGGCACTCACAGGGACGTGCTCAAATGCGTATCTTCACTTTTAAAGGTTGTAATTTACATTGGTCTCCCAAGTTACTCTGCTGCTGGCAGATGGAGTCAGCAGTGCCTGTTAGCCATGTGCCTTATTTATGTGTTCATGGTATTACCCACAGCAGGTTACTCCTGAGTTGCTTTTTCTGCACAAAAGAAGTTCTTTCTGCACAAAAGAAGTTCTTTCTCCACCTTAGCAGGAGCTGAAAGGGAATGGAAGCATGACCAAGTTTTCAAGTCCTTTGCTTACTCCTTTATCTTTGTACATGCTAATGATTTTACTAGTGGTTCTCTGTGTATGTTGTGTCTTACTTTGTGTTCTGCTCTGTTAAATATCTTAATTTAAAAAAAAAAAAAAAGGTAACATGCAGAGTTGGGAAAGGTCTAATGATATGTAAAAGTTGCTGATACAATATGACTTTCACAGGCTCTCCAGAGGTTGAAGAACCAGGTTATTCTCAAGTTCATTCCAGAGTCCCCTCTAAACTCTTGGTCCCCTTCTTCTCCCCAGAAGGTCCATCTGAGAGCTGGAAGAGTGCTGTGTCATCTGGCTTCTTGGCCAAGGGTAGCAGACCATCTAAAGCCCAAGTTGTGTTTTTCTCCCAGTAAACAGTTACCGGGAGGATGAAGAACAGACAGCATCTTCAGGCAACGATGATGAGGTGATTAAACAGTTTGAGATCTCTGTGTCATGCTCACAAAGTTTTCGATCAGAAGTATCTGAAAAAGCAACAGCAGCAGGAGCGGAGCGTAGACCCAAATTCAGCCGTTTGCTCTCCAGCCATGAGGAGTACTGTGCAGAGGTATCTGAATCCAAAGGTACTGTTTGCATGAAATAAGATTAAAGAAGTTGGAGTCTTTAAGATCTGTGGCCTCAACATGGAGAGGTTCTTTTGTTGTGGAGAACCAGTCCTAAATCTTGCTTTCTCTCTTACTAAACTTGGTTTCTTTATTGGTTACCTGCAGCTCATTTCTAAAATACTTAGAGGGAAGAGGCTGGATCTAAGCACTGCTGAAGTCCATGAAGATCTTTCCATTAACTGTATATGGCTTTTGAATTCTGGCTCCTAATCCACAGGGATTTTCATGGGTTTTATTGCCAATTTTGCCAGAGTGAAGACTGCAGGACTTCATTCTAATAATTTTTGATCTGTGCCACTTAAGTAATTTCTTTAGTAAGCCTTTTAGCAGAAGTTGAATGTCTCCTTTTGTAACAGCTTTGCAAACACAAGGTGAACAGTGAATGAATTATGTTGTATCATTTGCCAGCACATATGCCAAATGTCAGACAATGACGGAAACTAAAAATTTATGGCACAGAAGGGAAGAATTTTATGATCTTCTGTGGACTAATGTAATGACTCTTTTATACAAACAGAGATGAAATGCATTTAAAAATGTAGCTACTTAGAAAATTGGCCTGAACACATTCTAAAGTCTGGAGAAGCTCATTAGAGGGAAGAGCTGTGAAAGTGCCCTTTGTTTTTACTTCCATATAAAGTTTTAATTTTGAAATACAAGTGCTTGATTTTAGTGCATCCTCTGATTAGAGTGATCATTTCAAGATACGGCTCTCTGTCAAAATCTTCCTCTGGCACAACGTGGTGCAGAGTTGCTCTTACTTTTCAGAGGTCGTATTAATATTGTTTGAATAGCTGTTCAGAAATCAGATGAAACCAGATGTTGAAGTCTGCTTTCACTAAGACATTCAGTTCTCTGCTCCATTCCTCACTAAGATCAAGATTAGAGCCTTGATTAGGAACAAATGCCTATAAACTAATCCTTGGGTATGTCAGGTCTCCTTCAAATCCAGAGGCTTTGGTTACTGAGTGTACAGCGATAGTTACACACACTCATGCCTCCCAATATGAGTCATTTGTTTGGGAGAAGTGCTGAGTGGTTGGGGTATATCCAAGGTAACCCCTCACCCTGCTACCCCTCGGTTGCTGGTCTGAGCTGAGCAGATCCTCTGGTCCTTTCTGGGTGGGAGGGATGAGGGGTCTTTTGACAGCGCTGAGTCTAGATTGGGGTCGTGGCACTTTCAGGCCTTCTGACTCTGCCTGAGACTTCTCCTTGTGTCCTCTTAGCAGACTTTTCACTCACACAGCTGGTAGTTTTCTTTTCTTACAGAATCAGAAATCAATAACAAACTTAGGCACACAGGGAAGCTGAGCATCTCAGAGAGCCCTGAATAGCTTCTCTCCCACTCAGCCTTGACATATGGCACTCTTCTCACAACGTGTTCTTACATGAGATTTTCCTTGACCCTCTGTTTTTGTTATCGATGTCATGACAGTCTGCACTTTGGACTTGTCTGGCTTTCACTTTTCACCTGTTAGAAGTCTTCATAGTAACCTGAATAGAGCTTGGAAAGAGGAGCTCATGCTGCAGGAAGGAAGCGCTTGGAGGATGCTCTGGGGAGCTGAATAGCTGGCGTGCCAGCTCTGCCCACAGCCTCCCTGCAAATCACCCTGTTAATAAAGAGCCTATTTTAGTTCTGGAAACACGGAGTCTTCTCAGGCTATTACCCAGCATGTGGTAAATTAAACAATCTTGGCCTGATTGCATAATATTACTTGAAATTTAAGATCCTTTTTCTCTTTAACCCCTAAAATTTACAAGCCATTTTTGTTTAGATTTATTGTAATTAGATAATGATTCTGTTCCTTTGAGGCTTTTCTGGGAAGTTTTTCAGCACTTTTTGATGGCTAATCTCAAAATAACCGGGGGCAGAAGCACCACTTGGTCTCCCTGCATCTCGTTTGGTTCAGTGCGAGGGAGCACATGGTGCTGGGGTACTGCAGGGTGATTTGGTACTGGGGTGCAGCAAGGGCCAGGCAAGACGATTACTGCTGTACGAGGACAAAAATGCCTCAGTCCCACTAACTTGTATCTCTACTGCTGTCTTTCAGGAAGAGGGGTTTGAAAACCACTCCTAGTAGCTAGGAGGATTTCAAGTCCAGAAGTGCCTGGGTTCATTACTGATATCCTTTCCTCCCTGGACCATATTTAAACAGGTTCTTGACTTTCAGCATGTGTTTACATACAGTCTAGAAGAAATTCCTTACATTTTGGAAAATCAGAAAGAGAAGTCACGCTTTTTCTTGTAAAAGCACAATGGTTCACTGCAGTCCACGGAGCAAACATCGCCTTGGTCAGCACAGGTGACAGGCACACGTTAAACTCTTAATCTCAGGATTTCTTGCTGGTGAATGAACTATGTGGTGTTAATTTAGAAACATCTACTAGGCTCCATCTTTTAACTCTGGCAGTGTGTTTTAGGAACTGATGAGGCCTCTCAGGACATCTGTTTAGCACATTGTAATCTTCATAGACCTGAGAGATTGTGTATCATTGAAAAAGAAGAAATATTCTGTAGGTTAACCAGGCCATTTACCTTCCAGTGTGAGGGTGGAATTCACAGTATTTTCCGGCTTGATTTTCAGTGGTTGATGTGCTGAGCTTTCCCTGTATCTTTGGAGACATGCTTCCAGTACACTTTTAGAGTTCTATTTGGAGGTGATGTTCATTCTTTCATCTGACAAGAGTCACGGTTTCTTCATAACCAGTTCTCCAACCTTTATGGATTTGTTGGTGATTTCTGTTCCCCAGTATTCCGCTTGCCTCCTTGGCTTTTGGACACACGTGGCACAACAGGGAGAGGTTGGGGAGAGGACTGAAAGAAAACAGCACTCTTTTAGTGAACAGTGCTATCTGACCTTAATTTTAGAATTGGCTGTTATTGCTCTGCAGGGACTCTTGGCTAATTAAAGTTCAGATAGTTAGATAATGCTGTCTCAACATATATCCCTGATGCTGTGCAGTTTATTCATGTCAGGTATTCATAAGACAGTTGACATTTTCTTCCTTAAAAGTCTCTTGGGTAAATTACAGGCATTTTACTGCTCTGACCTTTTCCTTTACACGAAGAACTTCTGTTTTGATCATATTTTTTTTTGTGAATATAATGTTAGAACAGATGTAATTGGAGAGGTATAGTTGCTCTAGTCTGTATAGTTGAGCTATTACCTGTAATGATCCTCTAATACTGGTATTTGTAAGTGATTATCTCTTACCAAACTGCTTTGAATGTAAAGAAAAAGCCAGACTGTTTCACTAAATGGTTTTGGTGAATCACCTTTTTCCTTCCTTTCCCTCAATATTACATTTGCTTTCCTAACACATTCATTTTGTGCCTGAGTCTTAGAGACATAGCCTGCTCTATTAATATGTTTCTGGAGTTCTCTTGTTATGAATAGCCTTTTATGGCTTTAATGTAGTTTTTGAAAATTCCTCTATTATTGATCTAGATATTATCCCAGCAGGAGTCAAAACCACAAGACAATTGTGTGAGGATAATTTCTTACTATAGTAGCATTTCATTCTGAAATCCTGCTGTGTGGTGTGTGCTTTGATGGATGACCCACTGTTTAAAATGTGTATTAAGACATTGGCTTGCTAATTAAATGCCTTAAGGAGCGCCTGTACCCATTCAGTCTCAGTCAATTTGTGGGATTTCTGTTATTTTATTTCTTGCTTACGTTCATATGTTTACTGCTTTTTGTTTTCTGGCTTTGTAGAGAAGAAAGGGATCAGATGAATTAAAACTAATAAAAGCAGGCAGAAAATTAGACAACATATCTCCCCTCAGTTGCCCTTGGGACAATTTAGCCCAAACATAGGATTTGGAGATTCCTGCCTGGCTTGTGGGGTGGTCGTGCACACCCAAGCTCTCAGGGATGGGTGATAGGGTCGTGGTGGCACTCTGTTATCTCCATGAAACTCCTTTCCTCATCAGCACCATCCCCTTGAGGGCATTGCTAGCTCCTGTCCTTTCCTCCTCCTTCTCCTCCTGCATAGAAGGGAATTGTTGATACCTGTTCATCGGGCCTATGCTGTGCTTTTCTGTAATTTGTCTGACCTGTGTTTTCATACAAGCAATTACTTTGGGGCCACAAAGCAGCCCCAAAGCACTTGAATATCCCAAGCACTCCACTGATGATTGCATTTGGTGGCTGACTTCATCAAGTAAAGGTGGCCACTTTCTCAGTTCAGGATGAAACAGCCATGTCCACTCCATCCAATGATGATTTATACAGGATTTTGTATTTTTATGTTCTGCAGTTGTCAGAAGTAAAAACTTTCTCTTGCAAGCACTGGAGGTGAGGGCAAAAAAAAAAAAAAAAAAAAAAAGAGGGAGAGGCACATTTTTGGAGGGAGAGGGGGAGGGATGCGTTCTAATCCCTCTGAAATTATTTTCTTGCTGAAAATTGTTAGATCTGGATGGACTAAGCCAACTGAGTTACCAAGACAACCTATCCTATCACGAAGATGACCATGAATCTGTTGATTCAAGAACAACAACTGAGAGTAGGGGCACTGGGCGGCGTAAAGGGCCTAGGATGGAGTCCAGCATTGCCGACGGCATTAGCCGGCAAGCCACGGAAGGACGTTTGGAGATGGAGACAACTGTTACCCACCAGAGATTTGAAGTAAATGATGCTACGGACAGCTCATCGGCTTGGAGCCCTGAGGTATGGAGAATTGTCATTTATTATATACAATGTAAGCTTTTGAAGGATATTTGGGGCCAAAAAAATGTTAGGGGAGAAATGAAGTGAAAAATTGATCAGAACAGCACAAGATAATGGTACTCCTGTGTGCATGAATGTACACCCTTCTCTGGGTGTTTCCCCTTTTCTTGGTATTTTACATCTTGCTACTAATACTCACTGAGAGAAGCTGTTTTATTGCTTGGTTTCTGACTGCAATCTTTGAACTGAAATTGGAGCCACTAGCAGCCTGACAGCACTTACTATCACTTAGCAAAGAGAACTCTGTGGTGGCCCAGGGCTTTGTTGCTGGCTGTATGTGCAGGGTGTGTCTAGGGACATGGTGTGTGGTCACTGGGTCATATCTGTGCCTCTTTTTCTGTGTGGTTTCTATGGCTTAGACAATGGGAAGCATCTGGAAAGCTGGAGGCAACTGGTGGGGGTGGCCCGTGACTTGGCCAAGTGACCATCACTCTGGTCCCCATTGATACCGCGCATCCTTCCAGGGAAAGACAGCCTGAGAGCTCCTCTGCTTTCCCTTAGTTCTGTACCTTTATTTTGAAGCCTCAATAACACATCGGAGATTTTAAGGCATTGTAAACACCTGGTGACTTAGCATCCCCCTTTTCTCTCATAATCTTTCTGCGTGATGTGTTGGTTTTCATTATTATTTTACCACAAGATTAAATTTCTGAAAAAATATCAGCTTTCATCAGACATATTAAAAGAACAGCGCAAAGGTCACATCTTCTGCCTGAGTTAAAAGAGATTATTCTTCAGTTGTGGAAATTAATACCTTCATCACACTCCGAGCAACAAGGCTTTGAGGGGAAGAAAGTTCCTTTCCTCAGAGCACGCTGCCTGCAGCCAGTTAAAGAGATGGAAAGCAGCTTGTCGGTGAATATACTCCAGCCCTAAGGGGTGTTTTGAACAGCATTTTGGTTTGCTGCACAAATCAGTCCCACAGAATACCACACAAAACATGGGAACTCTGTGCGGCAGCAGCCTTGCCCTCTCCTTGCTGCGTGCCTCTGACATGCGCTGTTTGTCTGCCCACCTGAGGTTCATTTCTCCTTTTCCACATTTGATGTACATTGCCGTGGTTCACAGGCGCTGCAGTGTCTCCAGCGTCCTTTTGTATTTCTTTGGAATACATCTCTCGTTTTGCTCCTGGTATCTACATTTTAAAAATGCAAAGAATGGTTATAGCATCAGGGGGCAGATATGCCCAAGTCCCAGTTTATCTACTACAAGCAGCTCCTCATCCAAAGGTATTGTGTGGATTAATAAAAGACTTTTTATTGCAGGAACTAAATGTTCTGACATGCCAGAAATGTCCAAATGCTATTATGCTCCACCCAAAGGACCTCTCTTTAGAGACAAAAATTATAATTTTATGTCCCTGCAGTGGAACCACAAGTACCATTTCAAGCCTTGTCCATAATTAGCTGCTCTTTCAGGTTTCTCTGGCAGAAATGGATTTATTTTACCTAGTGAAGTGGATATTGGCTGTCCTGAATGACCGGGTTAGACATACAGTATCAATCACTATACCTAGCTTGACCTCTCAACAACTGTGCTGGGAAGAGGGAAAGAAAGAAATTCAGATGAAGTATCTAAAGCCCACACTTTCCTTGGATTCCAGTTTAAGTGTATGTATAACCAATATGTTCACAAAGGTGTCATAGCCACAGCTGAGCTCCAAAAGCCAAGGGGAATTCTGTGAATGACTTCCACAGAAAGAAGACTGACCGTCCATAAGCTTTGTGTGCTGAAAACCTGTACGAAGATGCATCCCAGATAGCACAGTGCTCTCTGAAAGGGCCAGCCCATGAGGTCTCTTAAGCTTGGTTGCCCGTGGAAAGGTCACTGCCACAGATTTTGGCATTTCCCTTTCCCTCTCTGTCTGCAGTTCATGCCGTTTTCTCTGCAGTGTATATGGCCACAGCTATAGTAACACAATCTGAGATTTCCTAAAATCTAGGTTCTTTCTATCTGTTCTATTAAAAGCCAGATAGCTGACCTTCAGTCTACCCTCCATGCTGCCAGAAGATGAGAGACTGGGCCCCGTTTGGACAGGAAAATGCCTCCTGGATCTTCATACCTGTGGGTTTACGATGACGCACGGGAGTTTGCGTTCTCCAGCTCAGGCATGCAGATGAAAGCCAAGTTATGCCACAACCACAGTTGTCTCCACACTTCAGCACTAGTTCTCAAGCGTGCCTTGATTCCATCCCCTCAATAGCAAATGCACAGATGAAAGTGGGGAGCGATGCGGAGGGAAACATGGATTAAGTGCAATCCATTATGTTTTCTTCTTAAATATTATTTCATCAACCAGACAGAAATAACTCGACAGCTACACAACAGCACTTACATTTGCATAATATCACCTTCTCTCCAGGCAGCCTGGCCTGCCCAGCGGTTTTGTCTTTGCAGCCTGCTGTTCATACAGAAAGACATTTTTATGGGCAACCAAGTCATTTCATGTGCTGTCCCAGCAGGGATTTTTCTCTCTTTGACATGACTTCTGCAAGACGTACAACAGTGGGTTTCCATCACTAGGGTGTGCACATGGACCTTTGTATTCATGTGCATGAATCCCTTAAACACCTATGAAAATATGGAAAGCTGGAGCTTTGCATGCCATGGCAGGTGAATCTGAGCACTGGAAAAATAGATTGACAGGAGGTAGGCATAAATTTTGAGGTTTGTCCAAGGTCTTCTTTGAGATATATACCACCCTAGACACTTCTGAAGGGAATTACATCAGAAGTCCTATGGCCCATCATCTGTACTCTAAACAATAAGATTTCTGTATTGAAAAGAAATGTTACTTGAAATGCGAGAGAAGATAAATGTTTGAGGAGGAGGGTGACTCAGACTGCTAGTGACAGGCCTTAATTCACCTTCTGGCTATTAACTGGAAATCTTTCCCGAGTACAGTGTATACTCATGTTTAAATACAAATCATTGATCACTATAGCAACCCCTTTATCACATGAAGCACATTCTAGCTCTAAGATAAAAAAACACTTTTGAAAAGAAACGCCCACGACCACTCATCAAAAGGTAAGGTGAGCATCCATGTTTTTTATCTTGTTTTATCAAAATGATTTTTCTTTTAAGAGTAGGTAGAATGTGTGCGAATTGGTCTCCACATGTTTTGGTTGTTTATTTTGAATTTTTATTCTAAATGTATTAGTATCCAAACTGAACAGAAGGAACAGATGCTTCTCTTGGGAGATTAAAAAAGGGAATAAGGAATCAATATCAGGCTGCTTTTCTTGATTATTATTGCTTTAGTTGTAGCAAATGTATTGAATTATAGGGTAGCATCTAGAAATAGAATTTCCATTCTCCAAGAAATTCCCATCAAATTGAACACAGGGCTTAATTTTTTTAAATTTTACAACAGAATAAAATATCCAAAAAAGTTAGCAGGTTTGGCTGAATTGTTTAATTTTTAGTAATGTAAAAAAATCAATTCTGAAAAAACTCCAGTGTGTGTTCTAAGTAATAGCTTCAGTTGTTTTTTTTTAACCAAAACAAACAAGGAAGTTTTATTATTGCTTCAAAATTGACATGAATGAAATTTAAAAAAAAAACCAAAACTTTGTTTAGTTTTTCCCTATGTAGTATTTTTGCCAAATTAACAGCCTCCTGCAAAACATTTAAATATTGATGAAACTTTGTTGGAAATGTTTCAACAAGTGCTGCTGCTTACTAGATTGTATGGGGAACATTGCACAAAATCAGGCAATTAACTAGCACTGGCCTTTCAAGAAACAGTGGGATCCTCATTTTGTAGAGCAACTGCCTGCACTTGCAAGCACAAATGAGAACATTTTTTTTTACATACAGTTGGGATCACAGAGGCAGTTGAACTCTAATGGAGGTTTTATTTCTTCCTTCTCTTTGCAGGAACATGATGAGGTGAACAGTGCACCAGCTCAGCACAGTGCTCATGAGCCCATCTGTAAGTGTGGTGATCTAGATGTCATCTTCAACTATGAGGCCTCAAGTCAAAAGCTAGTAGTTACTGTTTTGGAGGCCAGGGATATCCCAGACAAAGACCGCAGTGGTGTGAACACCTGGCAAGTGCACACAGTCCTGATGCCTAGCAAGAAACAGAGGGGTAAGACAAGTGTTCAGAGAGGACCCATCCCCGTGTTCAAGGATAAAATTACCTTCAGTAAGCTGGAGCCAGAGGAGTTAAGCAGCCACGCCGTTCGCTTCCGCCTCTATGCGGTGCACAAGATGACTGGGCAGAAGATGATGGGAGAGCAGTTGTTCTACCTGAGCAACATCAGCCAGGCAGGGGAAGTGAAGGTGACATTGGTCTTGGAGCCACGGAGTAACTTGAGGGTAAGTTTGGTGAAAGAAATATGGGAGTCCATATCATTGTTCATCTGGTGAATGGGGACTGGCTGTACCTGGTATCTTTCAGGGCTGTTAGGATGCAACTGGTGGATCTGTCCTACTGTAAATTAAACAGTGATCAGTAAGGGGAAGCACAGGGCAGTGCCTTATTAACAACAGCTCAGCTAGCAAGCTTACACAACATCATGTAGATGCGCTACATCTACACAAGTCTCCAAATGCTGTGCCATGCAGAAGTAGTAGGTTGGTCCCAGAACCACCAAGGCTAATTACATCGGAATTTCAACAAGGACAGTAGTTCTTGTGTGCCATTATGTTGGTGGACCTGTTGTACTGCCTGTGCTCCTCTGGCACTAGCTACTAGCTTGTGGATCTCTGTGTTGTGTTTTCCATGCTACATGAAATGCTTAGTAATGTTTCTTTTCATGACAGATGGAAGTGGAGAGGTGGGTCATGTGAGGAGGAACTGGCTGTGCTGCTTCATAATCTTCCATACACAGCACAGTTGTATCCAGTTCTGGCTCTGCCAATCAGTTTGTGTAGATGAGCTCTGTCATGATTCACTGTCTACAAAAAGCTCAGTGAGAGGTTGTGCACACAAAATGAATAAAACATCATACTCCGGGTGAAGAGGGGATAGCGAGAGCATCACGGTAGCAAGGAAAGAAAGAAAATACACAGTACATGACCAAAGAAAACCAAACTGCAAAATGCATTCCATCCAAAAGTCATTGTCAAGGAGATTTACTGTGCATTTGATGTACTAGGATGTATGCTTATCTCAGAGGCTTTGATTTACACTAATGTAAACACGTTACGCAGAGGTCCTCATCTCTCATCTTTAAAGAGAAAGTTCAGAGATGTGTTTTTGTAAAAGTGATGCTCTGATTCTTCTGGTGCTCCATAAAAATTCATTCTTAGTCATTGCCATTTCTTAAGAGAGATCTTACTAAACAGGGTTACCAGATATAAATTAAGGGAGGGTGGTGGTGAACGTCCTGATGAGACTTTATGCAGAGTGCAGACTCTCAGCTTAGTCTGTCAGCAATCTCTCACAGTGACAGCGCATCTTCAACACAGTCCCTGTCGCATGGAGGGGTGCCAGAGCTGCTCGTGGGATTGTCGTACAATGCCACTACGGGGCGGCTGTCAGTGGAGATGATCAAAGGCAGTCATTTCCGAAACCTTGCAATTAATAGGCCACCTGGTAAGTACTTTCACTGCTATTAAATAACACCGTTGAGTCAAAATTTGCTTTTTATTTTCTTCCTCAAGATATTCAATTATGTCATTTCTGAGCTGGGTTTTCTTGCAGAGTATCTGATTGGAAATTAAAAGCATTTTTTTCAAATACATTGCTGGTAAATTTTACAGGGTAATTGGAGGCAATCATAGGAAGACACAGCTGATGGGACAGTAATACCTGAGTGTCTCTTTTATTGCATATACCTTTACAACATCTGATTATGGCAAAAGTGCTATTATACCCAAAGCACAGAGTAATTCTCAGCAGATCCATAAAAAGGAATAAGTGCTTTTCAAGTGATTATATGTTGCCATGTGACCTACAGAGGCCCTGCCTAGTGCCATTAAGTGTTTCCCAGGGCTATATTTTGCTTAGTCCCCTTGCTGTGCTGCTGAGTGCTGGGTGACCTGGTGCTTTGGGCCCTTTGGAGATCCTGCTGCTGTGAATTCTCTGCTGCCACACAAGAAAATCTTCTGCAGAGAGAAGATTTGAAAGTTGTTCTGGGTTGCAGCAGTTGAGTTCTCTTCCTCCAATACCTAAAGGAAAAAATGGAAATTGCCTTACAGTAGCCTTAGTTAGTGCTTGAGCTGTAGTTAGTCCTTGGGAAGGATAGTGGATGGACGGTGCTTATGTGCGTGGTATAGATGGGGTCATGCAGCCGTAGTGCCTGGTGTTATCTGCTTTGCTGCGGGGGTGCCTCGTTCAGGGATTGAATGGCAGCGCTGTCCTCATCTCTTACTGTCTTTTCGCCTCCTGTCTGGAACCAGCAGCTAACGGCAATGTGTAATAACATTTTTTTGCTTGTTGGTGTGTTTGCTTTTTGTGATGTGGTTGCCTGCCTGTCAAAGGTAATAACCTTTGACAGTTCCTTGCATTCATTGGATTTGACCTAGTATCTCTAGCTTGCAAAATGCTAAGATTGCTTTTGCAAGATGCTGTGCTCTTTGGCCCAGAGCTGGCAAAATATTTATGTGATATTTAAGTATATGTACATGAAAACTCAACTTTCCACTGAACCATACATACTTAAGTATATTACAGAAGTAATCTGTGTTGTCAGCCAGTCCCTCGAGAATTAAGGGCAGGTCTGTGCAACAGTAGAACACGAGCCCAGCCTGTGTACCCCTAGTGAATCCTGTATTAGCTGTGGCAACATAGGTCTCCATGTGAATCAAAGACATGTTCTTGTTTGCATGTACATGCTTTATTAAAAGACATATTAGTAATTTAAAACAAAGGTAGACTAGAACAAGAGTTTTACCCTATCCTAGCAAGCAAGCTTTCCTGTGTTTATGTGTGCTGCAGTGTAGATACATCCTAAGGTTTTATTCACAGAAATGAAATTAAACTAGTCCCAATATAGGTCCAAGTTAATTTGCTGCAGTTTTTTGTGGCATGTTTTCATGTATCTGCCTGTGGTACTGGAGTTTTGTCTCTTTGCTGCCTGAAGATGAGGATTATGCAGCACTTCTTAAATCAGGCCCCACGCAAGTTATCCTGTATCTGGCAGGGTCAGGCATCTGTAATGTCCCACTCGTTTCCCATAAATGAAAGGTCTGCACTGCAAAGAACTCAAATAATTGCATTCCAGCTTAATACTTGCAAGATCATGAACAGATTACTGATTCTTTTTTTTTTTTTTTTTGGTATTCTTCTGACAAATGTCTTTCTGGGTGCATGTTGTATAGCTCCGTGTGTTGCAGTAAGCTGAGCAACCCCATAACTCACAGCCTGTGAGTGCTGGGGAGTGGTGTCTGTCCTGGGCCTCTGGTGGGATGGGGTTTGGCAGATTAGCTGCCATGTGCACATGTTAGCTTTCAGCATGGGAAAGTTTATCTGCCTTGATTAGACATCCCATTCTGCTTTTTAGCTAGTGGGCACACAGGAGTGCAGCAGCTTGGTTGGCAGCATCTTTAAACCTGATAAACATTTTGTTTTTGTTGATGAGATGAGCACAGGAGCAGGATATGAGAAAAGGAGGCGTTCCTTGAGGGACCTCTCATTTTAAATTCTGCCTGAATTTTTTGTTTCTGTGTTTGTAGGGCTTCAGAGAAACCTGGTTAGATTGGTTTGATAAGCTAGCCAAAGTCTTCTGTCAGCCACCTAAACTAATAGTCCTGACAGTTTTATAACAGTTCTTCCATCTTCACTGTTAAGGCTATCTTGAGTTGTTTCTTTGCATCCTTTCTAGATCCAGATCAACTTTAGCATTGTCAGACCAGTATCTCTCAGTTTTAGGTCAGTTATTAGGTAAAACTGTGCTGCCATTCAGCGAGACCTAGAC